AAAAAAAAAGAATCTCTAACATTAAGCTCAGAGAATCTATATAATTCAAAAGATGAATGCAATATGAACATAGATGAACTTAAAGAAAATATTAGCCCAACTGATCTAGAAATAGAAAAAAAAGTTGAATTAAAGCTGTTATAGTTTGAGGCAGTAGAAACACAGAACTAAAATTAACTAAATAAAATGCAAAAGTTGGAGATAACTTTTACAGAAAAAGATAACTTTATTTCCAATCTGAAATTATTACCAGACCTCTTGGTTGCCTTATACAACAATGATTTAAATCAGGTCTTTAAAGATAAAGATGGCTTTACTTTGGTTTCTTTAAAGAAAAAATCTAAAAGTCATCCAAAACTTATAAACCTATAAGACAATGATAACAGATCTAAAAATAACCTTGGGGTCAGAAAGAACTCTTACTAAGCTATTCTTTATTTATATAACTAACCTATTTATTATAATTAAAAAAATTAAAATTGCAATACTAAATATTAAAGGTTTAAATAATATAAACAAAGCATACAGAACTTTAACTTTACTAAAATTCTACCACTTAGATATAATAATGCTTCAAGAAACAAATTTAGGCATTTTAAGATTGGGTTTATTATATAAACACTTTTAATATAACTAGAAATTTCAAACATGTTTAAATTATATTTCTTTTTGCAACATATATATATAGTAATGATATTCAAAAAACTACTATCATTATAACTAAAATTATTTTGCCTTTAATTGTAAAATTTTTAAGATCTAAGCCCTTATATGTAATTATTTTTACTTTAAACTTTTATATGTAATTTATCTAAAAATGTTTACAGTAATGCGTAATTAGTACATGTTTAAAAAAGTACTTAAAAAAATGAAAATTTAATATATAGTTAATTTGAAATTAATACTGTACAATTTGTGTTAACGCTATTCTAATATATATTATAAAATAATGCTTGGTCATGTTAATATACTCCAAAACAATTTGATTTTTAACTAATATATAGTGATTTCACCGGAGCATTATATCTCAAAAACCTATGTTAGGAGTACTAAGTAAAAATGGTTAGGATTTTCAAAAATCTAACTCTATCTAAAATTTGAACATTTATATCTAACTCTATCTTGTATCTAAAGCTTGCCCTAACTCTAAATTTTAATGAGGTAGTGAAATCATCCCCGATCAAAATTAGTTATTTTTCACCTTTAATATTTAAAAAAAAAATTAGTTATTTTCTTTTTTGACCCCATATGGGCTAGGTGCTGCAAAAGATAATGAAATTGACAATTTTTAACAAAAAAAATTTTTAAGCTTAACTAATTTTAGTCTAGGAACATTGTTCACTTAAGAAACAAATGCAATAAAATTTTCTGAAGTCTTTATTTCCTAATGATTTATTATAGAATTTAATAAATTTTCCATAAACCTTCTTTTTTGTTAATTTCATTTCTTTTGCAGCACCTAACCCATATATATACATATAATCCCATAAAGCTTATCACCTAATAAATCGACATCTTTATATCAGAAAAAAGGTCTTTGTTATCTTTTTAATACGGACAAGTATAATATATAATGTGTCAAGAGTTTTAATGGAACTCTATGAAATCGCATTGATAAATATTGTCTTTGAATAAAAATAAGAGTAAATTAGGCTTTTGTAGTTACAACAAAATATTACTAAAGTCACCGACTCTTATGACAATTTTTTATTTTTTCTTTGCAGTACTGCTACCCCCTGTAATTTAATATCATGTGACACTTAACAGTAATGTAATACGAAAGGAAATAATGTTTAAGTGCTGATATAATAACTCTTCGATATATTTTATTTCTTTTAGTTTTATTATAGTTTACTATGTGCATTAGTTATGTTATATAGTGTATATTTATCCCGTAGATTAGATATATTATACCGATCATAATCGATAAAATGTATAAATAACCCGTTACCCGAATCAATAGCTAGAGAAAACTCTTATTATAACGATAAGACTACTTGTATCGTCAAATCATCATAATCCTCTTACCGTATTGTCGCCCCGGGAGTTATTTAAGGACGCATTGCTTGAAGAGAACTAATAATTCATTTAGCCAAACCTTTTAACAAAAAAAAATTATGATACGCATTCAGTTGAATTAATAGCTCTCTTCAAGCAACGTATCTCGAAATAACGCCCCGCGGCGTTATTCGAGACGATACGGTAAAGTATAGCTGCAATAAACCATATGTATCCGTCGCTAAAGTAAATTAGTTAGACCAGACTTATAAGAGTTTGGGTGTAACAATTATAGATGCGGTAGAATCGTCCCGACCAGTTACGGTAGCTCAAATATTTGATGAAGAATAAATAATTCCGTATACGTATACATATTTGTATGTAAAATTAATATGTATATATATCTGATACGTATCGGTACGTATATATTTGTGCTTTACATACCGATACGTATGAAAAGTTAAGTTACGACGTACAAAACATTCGACTGTATCGATATGTTACGACAATAAAGTAAATACGTCGTAAATTAAAATCGAACGTAAAAATATCAGATATGTTATAACTCAGTTACGGCATGGAATGTTCCAATGCTTTGAGATTCTACCGCATCTCTAGTACGTAACAGTATTACGATTAGATGATAAAAAAGCAATGATTCAAGACTTGATAAGTCAAAATGATAGTTCCTTTTACGAATTATTCAATCGATATTTCTTCTTTACTTTTCATACTTCCATATTTCTCTCTGGCTCTTTTCTTCCTCTTTGCAACTTTTTTTCTAGCAATCTCTCTTTTAATAGCCGACTTACTTTGATTCCCATTATGATAATCATCTAACTTTTCTATCATTATCTTTCTAGCTATCGATCTATTTTGTTGCAATGATCGTGTTTGCTGGCACTTTGATCAAAAAGTCAGGTTTTAACAAAAAAAGAGAAAATGAATTTATAAACCATTTTAGACAATTCAATGTAATTACCACGACTCTAACTCCGGTCGGAACATGTCTCAAATCAACACAATTCGATGTTTTGTTTATTTTTTGTCCACCGTTTCCTGATCCTTTAACGAATGATTCTATTAAATCCTTTTCATTTAGAACTATCTTAATTCGTTCTTTTTTTAAATCTTCACAAATTTTATCATCATTTATAGTATCAACATTTATATTATCAGAATTTGGTGAACTATTATCATTTTTTGCTTCATTTTCTTCTAGATTATAATTATCAGTCGAAACCATTTTCATAAATGGTGAAAGACGAAGCCCAAAATCGGTGAAAGACAAAAGACATGATCCCTGGCGAAAGGCAAAACCTTTGGCGTAAGACGAAACCCTTGGTGAAAGACAAGACCTCAGGCGAAATATGAAACTTTTGGAGAAAGATAACACTTCAAAGTTCTAAAATAAAGCCGAATTTAGCAAATAAAAGTATGTCATTATTAGATATAATAGCAGTTAAATACAAAAACGTGGCTATACCATTATTGCAAAGAAAAATTAGCCTTCAAGCTTTAAATTTCCCTTAATATATATCGATACGTTTTACGTTAAATTTAAAATTTGCGTCAGATTAAATGTCAATATCGATATCAACATATGTATAAAGATTCATTTAATCTGATGTATTTTGTCATACGTAGTCATTTGGGTCACAACATATTAATTAATTTGAACAGGAGGAAACGTTGATGTTACACGACTTGTCCTTCACCCATGTAAAATAATTATTTTATATGTTGCACATCGGGTGAAGGATCTCGATCCGACAAGTCATCTAATCAATATCACATAATGTGACAATTACAAATAATATGGTGTATACGTAAAATTTAATCAAGATAATTTGTTTGATAATTTTCCAGCGTAATAATTAACAATGTTCCGAACTGGAATTGATCATATTCTCCCAAGTTGAAGGTTCAAAAATTTGTGCGGTTTGGAACAACCCGAAGCAAATCTCGAACAACCTTTAGGATCTAACGCTAGTGCTAGAATAAGTCTGATTTAATCGTGTGGGTTGAAAATTGGCCCAACTTATTCAATTCCGTGTAACGTAATCAGAAAAGGATAAATACTGACGAATCCCAATTTAATTTTCTCATCTTTTCCAATGCCACCTCAAAAAATAAAAACCGATTATGAACCTATAGATACTGATCCACACATTACTCGTGTGGTTAAATATTTTAGAAATTCGGATTATTTGGTTTGGGCTGCGACAACAGCTTTTGGCCCCGCTTTTTATTATTTACTTGGTGAAAAAAAAAATTCATTAAAAAAAAAATTTCCTTAAGAAATTTTTTAATAAAATAATGAACTAATTCAATGTAATCTATTAGAATTAGGTGGCCGTGTCCCTACACCAAGTTTGGGTTTTGGTTTAAAACTTAGCGCGTGTGTTGGCGCCACTGGAGGATTTTTACTTGCATATCAAAGGAGCAGCAGTAGGTTAAAAGAGATTCATTGAACGCAATTCATTATAGATTTGATAAATCTACCCCATTAAATGTAGTGAGATTTTGGGGATGGACCGAAAATGCACAAGAATATGAGCGAGATTTAAAAGAAATGAGACAACGTATAAAAGAAGGAAAACCTTTATACGGTGTTTCTAGAATGAATGAATATGCTCAAAAGTCTTCATCTTGGATGTCTAGATATGCTGCTTTGAAGTTTTGTACGTATATTGTATCTTTAAATGTTCTATTATATTTTTATGACTTTTTAAATTAATCCTATTAATTTGTATGACAGCTGCATTCCCCATATTTAATTTTGTTAACCACAATAACCATGGTATTGATACAAGCAGGTATTATAAAGATCTTGATGACAATGACGACAAAGAAAATATTTCAGGCTAAAGGATATTGGTATTATAAATTTACCAAATCTTAAAACAATTTGATTTTATAATTACTGTATTTAGAGGTAAAATAAATAAATGATTTTGAAAAATTAAGATTTTATTGTGTTTCAAATATCAACTAATACCTCATGATTTTAATATTTCCCTAAGAAGTTGCATTTAATATTTTGTTTAATATGGAGTATAAAATATATATATATTATAGTAAATATATATTATTAAATAATTATATAATATTGGGATTCCACCGATATTGAGCAACGGGCAATTCAGCACCATCCGCAAAATATTTTAATGTTTCACCCTCAAGACATCTTTCACTGTAGTTAGTATCTAACTTTAATTTCTTAAGTTTCTTATTATTTTTCACCAATCTTCTCAAATCTTCTAATTGCAATGGTGCTCTTCCTAATATTACGTCCAAACTCATCTCTTCCAATGTAGTAATGTATAATGATAATAGGTGGATTAAATATACGGGTGATAAATCACATAATTGTATGGTTAATTTACGAATTGGTGAGATAATTTGGTTAATGTCACAGGCGGAAATATCGGAATTATTTAAGTCTTGTAAAATTTGGAATGGTTCGACAAGTGATGATTCTCTGCAATATTCTAAAGAAATTTCGGTTAAATTGGGACAATGTGTAAGAAGATAACCTAATGTAGGTTTATCAATTCTAAATGTTGCATCGTGTGTTGATGATATGTCTATCCTTTGGATATATTTGTGATATGTTAGGTTAAATGTATTTGTTTTCTTGGCTGACGAAAATAAAGTCCTTTTAATAAGGCTCCAACGTAAAGATGTTTGTTCATAATTTTTCCAATATTTATCGCCTAAATCTCTCCAAACAAAAGGAATTGTAATGTGCAATAATATGGAATTTTGATATAAACAATTACGTAAATCGTGCCAACCAAGATACGAAAAAATTTCTTGCAATAATTCTACCGGAAGTGTTAAAAGTGTTTGTCTTTGAAAGGAATGTTTATTAAGTGACATACTTTATAAATATTATGAAAGGTGACTAATGTGAAAGGAAAGACTATTAAATGTTAAGAAAAACACAGTTACAGAATTATCGTCAGTAATTACTACTGGATATCTAAATATAGAATAAAATGCCACAGAGGACATAATATCTATGAATAACTTTCACGTGATTTGCATTTAGTCAATATTCTACGTATATATTAAAAAGTTCACGGTATGTAGTGATGGGACCTCCGAATTTTTAGTTAATAATAAAAAAATTAATAATAGTTAATAATTGTTGGTACTCGTTGACAGACCATTTACTCGACACGCATGTAACAATTTAACATTCTATTAGTTACAGGTATATATTTTATTTAATTATCACTAGACGTGATGTAAAATAAATAGTCTGTTAGTGAAATAATTGGCAATGAATAATTGGCAGAGAATTGTAATTGTTTAATTGTATGTAAAAATAATAACATCAATAAATAACTTCAAGTTTGATGAAAAATTTTGAATTACTAATATTTGAATGTTATCTCAACTATTTGGTTCAATGTGATTTCTGCAAAACAAATTGTCTTGGTGAATTTTCAAAAATGAAAAAATATTTATTAGAAAAATATAAAGATATTAGTCAAGCTGAATGTGATAGTATTAGTGTATTTTAAAAAATACAAAAATAAAAAAGTTACAAATATATAACTCACTATTTCAAACTGATACTGATGATAATACAGATCTAAGTAATAAACAAAAAATTGAATCGGTTATATTATCTATTGAAAAAAAAGCATCTATTAATTATTAACTATTTAAAGCATTAATTTTAGTTAATGTAACATTATTATTTGTAGAAGATGTCAAAGTAATTAAATTATTTTATATATTAAGTCTTGAATATAAATTTTTATCTTATAAATAAATAAGTACAAATATTTTAGACAATATATATAAAAATGTATAATGTAACATTTAATGCTTTGTATCTAATTTAATATTTTTAATATTATTCAATAATGGTTGGATGAATGTTTCAAAAAATAATATACTAAATATTATTATAACAAATAAAAAACATGAAAATCAAAATTTTAAAATAGATAATTATTTTTATTTATATTATATAGATAATAAAATATATATAAAAATTAGAATAAATCTTGGTTTAAATAAATAAATAGCATTTATAGTAAACCTAATTTCAAAAAGATGTAATGTTATATACATGAGATAAATACAGTAATTATTATTTTTTTTATAAACTATATTAATTCTATTGTAATGTATATTGTAGAATTATGATCTTGATAATAAAATTTTAATAATTCTATATATAGTATATCAAACCAACTTATTGGTTAAAAAAATAGTCAAATCATTATTAAAAATAGTCAAATTATTATTTTTTAAGTTTGATATTAAAAAAATGTTAATAATTATTAACTATTTTTGAAATTTGAATATCACATTATTTAAATTAAAAGAATTGATTTCTAATAAACTTTAAAGCCTCAAAAGTATTAGAAACTATATTACAAATACAAACAAGTTTGAAAGTAAATTTCAAAAATATATTTATAACAGTTGTTATTTGTAATACCTATATTCAGAAATATGTACTAGGTTTACTTCTAAATTACTATCCCTTAAACTGTAGACTATTTCCAGGCAAATTTGCCTGGAAAATTAACAAAAATATACTTATAATCTATATTTTTTAAATTTTAAAATATTTAAATAAAATTTTGTTTGATAATA